TGACTCCATGAGCTGCTCTTGCTCCACGCTCCCTCGGGGTTTTGCTTTGCTGTTTCTATCTCACATTTTTCCCAGCAGGCAGGCTCTCTGATTTTTATCTCTTTTTCCTCCTCCTTTAGAAATATTATTGCCTTCATTATACACCTTAATGAGTATTTCTGCTTTGGCTAAAAATAGATTGGTAGAAAAAATCGTACAGTCAAAGAAAAAAAATTAAAAGTCATACTGATACTAGAGATTAATTTAAACGACCTCTCAGGACACTGAAAGTCAGCCATGACCTGGGAGTCCAGGTGTCATAAGGACAGAGCAGAATTGCTCTTCGAATCACATCGCCGAGCTCCCATGGAAGTAAATGTTTCTAGATAATGGTTGATTAGGATTGATCAGAAAAACACTTCTAGTCGAATTCTGTATGAAACGATGGCCACTTGAACTGCTCTGCCAGCTTGCAAGGTGTCCACGTTCAGGTGTCTCTTGCTGCTGCTCCCCCACTGCAGCCTGTCTCAGCTGTGTCCACACCGTGCCTTCCACGGGGCATGGCACTTGCTCTTCTCCTGTCCTGAGCTCTGACGCCTTGAGCAGAGCTGAAAGCGCTTCATACTGCGGGAGACACAGCCCGGCTGGGAGAGCAGCCTGAGGAAAGGATGTGGGCAGGAAACCATCAAACCATGGCTTCCAAAAGCTCCTGGTCACAGATGAATGCCAAACTGAAGTGAAAAAAAAAAAAAAAAAAAAAAATTTTTTTTTTTTCAGCCCCCTCCTGAACGTGTCCACTCCAGTCATTTGAAACAAACGCTTGTATTTTCTCAAAGGAGATTTGAATAATTGCTTCAAGAAAAATCAGCGTATTGCTGTGGAGCTGAGAGATCAGAAATCACCTTTCTTGCCTAATATTAATTTCTAACCAGCTCTGATATTTATGGGAGCTAGAGATGGGAATTGGTGGCACTTCTTATCTGAAACAGAGGGTCCCTGGGAGAATTGTAGCACGTAGCCTCAGATGAACACAGTTTTTGCTTATCTTACCAGGCTGTTTTCAGATATTATGAACATTTTGGATAATAAGGAAAATGGTTGTTAGCCAAGTGGTTTTATCTTCCGCAATAGTCACACTTAACACAAGCTTACTTTGAGAATTACCCTATGAAAGGGTAATACCTGACAAACAGGCGTTTAGAAATGAGCAGTCAATATTTATGGAGTCTGTCAGATCAAATCTAACAGTTATCTGCAGCAGCTCTTCCCGTGTGGCAATTACAACACAGAATATTTCTGAATTGTGCTGGGTGCTGTACAAACAGGTAAGGGAGGATGCCTGCATTAGAGAATTTGAAGGGTAAATGTCAAAATCTGACAGACTGCAGGCTGACATGGGGTGAGAGAGAGTAACAGAGGTCTCTGCTCAACTCACCATGTTAGCCAGTGGGAGAATAATTGTATTTATTTGTTTTCTTATTTAATTAGTTAAGTGGAAAGTACACTGAAAGGCTGGTGTAAAGTTTTTCCCTCAGAATAAGTCTTCTTCATGTAGATATTATGTGGTTGTACACTCACACTGTGTTGGTTAGTCTATTAACAAGGAAGATGAGCCACCTGCCTTTCCCAGAGCTTTCCTTGAGAGCTGGGTTGCCTGTTATCAGATGGAGACACTGTTCCCTCCTGGTCACCTCTCTGAACATCCCTCTGACTTGGGCAGGGGGCTGGTTATGGGCCAGATGAATTGTTTGGGATGCCTGCTCTCAAGAGGAGTCCCTCTGCAGTCCCCCGACCAAAATTAACCCCCTCTGTCTGACCAAGTACGCGCTAGATCACGTAAAAAGCATGAAGATAAATCCAGAAAGAGGAGAATGGTGGGTTTTGGAGCCTCTCTCACATCTCCAAAGCAGAAAAAGCAGTGGGCTGGGTGAATTCTAGGCTTCAGTTCAGTTTATCAGCTGCTGTCTCGCTGAAGCCCCGTTCAGAGTGAGATAATACGTGTGTGCACGTGTCAGTAGGATGAAAGCAAAGTTGTTTTCAGAGGATATCTGCGACCTCGAGCTGCCAAAGATATCCTTGCACCTGCTTTCCTTGGCTGGAAACGCAGTACTGTTACTGCAACACATACAGAAGAATTAACCAACCCTTCTGTGTTCGTACATTTAAGAGCTTTTCCCAGAGCAGCTTTTCTTTTTTTTTTTTCTTCTTTTTTTAACCTTAGATACTGCTTAGTGACTGTAAAGAGAGAGGGGTTAATGATATGGCCAGTTGCTCCAAGTATGAGAATACCCTTGTGTGCTTCTCAGGTACATCTCATGTTTCCTTCTGGCCCCTGGGCATGTCTGATCACCCTCAGTGTCAGCTCCAGACTCCTTCCTATCTCACACAGCAACTCTGCATCCAGCTCCCGGGAGGCTGGCATCCTTCTGATCGATGCTTTCTTGATCTCATCCTCTTGCTTGTTCCCGTGGCATGAGAATTACAACTGCTTCATTCCCCCTGACTGCATGGGGTGCTTCCAGAGGTGATATATGGGATTTCAGGGCAGGAGTCTGAGTTACCTGGTGGTTAAAGAAAAAAGGACAATTAACATGTGGCGTGTGGGCAGACCAGGTCTGTGTGACCGTAGCTGAAGGCTTTTCAAGGCAAGACTTTGACTTACCTTGAACTGAGGTGCATTAAGGCAAAACATTTTTAAAGAAAATGACCGAGTTGACGTGGTGAGCTAGGGTCACCTTCCTGTTCCTAAAGGCATTGTGTGGGTTTCCAGCCAGCTTTTAATCTCAGAGTAGCAACCAAGGTAGTAGATAATATTGCTCCCTCCAGGTGTCCTGTCAAGCCCTTAGGGTCTGGTATCGCTGTCCAAGCTGTGCTCAGCTAGAAATGTTTGGAGGTGTTTATGTGACAGCTGCTGTCGTGGCTTTGCCAGGGCTGGAATGAAAGATCTGCAAAACTCAACGGAGTTGCTAGGGCTTGAGTTCGGAAAAGAGCAAACCAGATCAAAGACAGCACTGCTCCCATAGCAGCTCCTGTCCTAATGGTGGGGCGGGTAATGGACTCGGTTAGATGGTGAGCTATCAGGCCTGAATTTTACAAAATGGAGGCTCCTGGACATCAAAGCTTGGATCTGGGATGTCTGAGGGCCTCAATTTGTGTTTCTCCAGCCTCTAGAGCACCGTGACTCTGATTGGGATGTGCTACCATGGGCTTATAAGTCTAAAAGTCTGTTCCTGTTTGACTCTTAGACTATCACTTGGCATTATTGACTGCTAGTGACCACACCAAAATACCAGCCTAAGCTTGTGTGTGTGGTCAGGGAGAGGGAGAATGGAGTCACAAAATAAGACTGGGAGCCGGTGCAGCAGTTATTAGAAGACGAGGGTACACGTCAAGACATGATTTCTCACAAAGCATGAGTGGTGATGCATCAGCACTGACTAATCCAAGCCTGTGACACGTGTGGCACCAGGCCCATGGCTGTGACCACCGGCTGTCCTCTTCAGTCCAAATCCCCTTTCTCTAGTTCAGTGCTGGGGTATCAGGACGATTTCACAGTGCAGCTGTCACTGGAGTTAAACATTGTTCTGTTCATAAAATGTCTTCCCTCACCGCTATGCAGCTGTTTCATGTGTTTGATCTACACGCTGGTTGCTCATAAAGCCAGAGCACTGCAGCCCCACTGCTGGAGGAAACTGGAGACAGCTGGGAGACTTGGGCTCTTTCTCTTATTTTATTGTCTTTGACAAAAGCTGATACAGAGCCTTTGGTGCTGGTGGGAAGAGCAGAAAACTCCTCTGTCTGTTACATCTGGGCTTTCCCCCACGTCTGTCCCTCTGTGCACAACCACCTCTCATCTTTCTGTGCCCTTTCAGATCCCTCTGCTGAGCTCTCTTCTGCTGCAAAACCCCAAAAGCAATGGTTCATGCACCAGATGACCAGCTCAGCTGCTCACACTGACCTAGAATTGCTGCCCTGGGCCCTCTCCCTAGGACCAGCTTGTGTGCTATTTACATACCTGTAGCATCTTTAATTTTAAGGGGTTTTACTCTGACATGAAGTGGCTGTTGCTATGTGTAAAGTCAGGCTGGGTGGTCCCTGCCTTTCATCTTGTTGGCCTAAGTAACAAGGTGCAGTGCAGAGATGTTCATGCTAGAGGACAAGCAGGCCACAAGAGCAGAATTTGTTAAGCTGATGCTTCACCAACTTGTTCACATCGCTTTGGATTAAAGCAAACTCCTCTGTGTGGTGTTGTGGGCACGTACTGCAGTTCAGAGCCATACTGCTTTGCTTTTAGATAAGTTCTCAAAATAATTCTGCTGTGATCTAAGTGTTTTTTTTTTTTTTGTTAAATGTGTGAACAGAACACCTACTGTAGTAGGCCTTGATTGTAAGTTTGCATGGCAGCTCAGGAGAGGTCAATATCATTAATAAAGAGTGTAATTGTTTAATTTATTTCTGTTGATTTATTTATTTGCACACCTCTTACCACAGACCATCACAAACTCTTGTTTCTCCTTTCTGTTTTTGTCCTCTTAAGAACCCTCAATACCCTTCAAGGAGAAACTGAAGGACCTTGAAGTGAGGGAGAAGGAAGCTGCCACCTTCCAATGTGAAGTACCTGTTCCTAGTACGGAGACAGCTTGGTTCAAGGAGGAAACCAAACTCCGGCAGAGCAAGAAATACAACATCGAAGAAGAGGGCACGTATCGCCGACTCACTGTTCAGAACGTCACTGCAGACGACGATGCTGTCTACATCTGTGAGATGAAAGAAGGGAGCAGGACCATTGCGGAGCTGTCTGTCCAAGGTAAGGAAGGCTCTTGCTATTTCAGGTTGGCCAAATCTCACCTACCAAGTGTGAGATTCACACGTGAGACTCCGGACACAGCCTTGTGAACGGCATTTACCCCATGCATGGGTGCAGTGAAGAACAGCGGACTCCCTTATGGTGGGAGAGGAGAGCCACGTGTGGACGGTCAGCAGGTTCCTGGGTCTCCTGCCAGGGTGTATCTGGGACACAGGGTCAGAGAGCGGGGATGGATTGTGTTGCTGCACAAGATATATCACCTAGTGCGGACCTATGCTTAAAGGGGCTTCCTAGAAGGCAAAGTCCTTGAGATGTAGCCTAACACTGTGGACTTTCCAAGCATCAGAGGTGTCCCCTGGCACTCTCTCATACATGTCTTGTCTGGTGTCTGGCGAACACAATGGTGAATCTTGTCCAAGAGCTGTGCTGACCACACTGGGAAGCTGGCTTAGCAGCTGAGGTTTATGGTTCAACGTGTGGTGCAGGCTGTAGCCAGCACCAGTATGGTTTGAGATCGGAAACCAGATCAGCACTCCAGATCCCTGACATCTGGAGCTGTCCTCTGGAGTTCAGAAAGCTGATGAGAAAGAGTCAAAATGTGGATATAGATCCACGTCCAAGTCTTCCGAGTCTGGTGGTTTAGGACTGAAGTGCAAGTAGGTGTGGAGCCTGATATGGTGTAGGTGTCTCACAGTGAGTAGACACACACATCAGAGATACCGGCATGTCTGCAGAAGGGGCCGTTGGTTCTGAGCTCCCTGACTTGCTGTATGAGCGAGAACCTACCCATGCAACTCCAGGATCTTCAGTTTTTATTTAGATGATGCTTATGCTGGTGCTATTGACGTGTCTCCTGTTGCATGAATGGGAGACCTGCCATAGCTACAGGATTGCACTTGTCCTGGCTCTTTTGAAGCCTGACTTTACTCCCAGTGAAACCAGAAGTTCTTCACTACATAAATTGGTGCAAGACAGCTGGATGACGTGCATCCTTGTGCAAATCCATTCTTGTATCGTTAGCAAAGAGTTGAGAATGGGTAGAGGCAGAAGGGAAAATTTAGTCTGGAGACGCAGATTTCGAACAGAGGTCTTCTTGTTGCACCTTCTGTTAGGTCTAGACCAGCCAAACACTGTAAGTGTGTTTGGCCCCAGTAGGACAGTGGGTATTTTACTTGTTTGCACTATGGTGCTGTGGCATGTTCCACCAAAAAGAGAGTGACTGAGCCAGGTGGAGCTCTCAGGGAAAGGACTTGGAGCCTTCCTGGGAGCGCCCTGTGCCTGCCGTGGGGGGAGAAGATTCAAGTGAACGGGGTGGGGTTGGGAGAATGGGAGAGCTTGGCAGGATGCGAGCGGCTGCAGGGACGGGGACACTGCTGAGGGCAGCGAGGAGCAAAGGTGCGGCCAAGCTTTGGAGAGGATGAACAAAGAGTTGGGATCTTGAATCCTGCTGATGAAGTGTGTGCCTGATCTGTTGCTTCATGGGGGAGTTCGGCATTGCGTCTCATTAAATAGCTCTAGGCACTTTGCCTGGGTGGGGGCTCTTGCCTCGCAGGGAGCGTTCCAGGGCTGGAGCCAGCCACCATCTGTCAATTGGGGTGGTTTCCCGATGCTTCGTCCAAGCTTTCCTGTGAACAGCCACTTCTTGTAACTTTAGGGTTATTCTAATAAGTGATAGTCATCACAGCCGTTTGGATAAGACACCAATAAGTGAAGTTCATTCCATGTGAATTTGTGTGTTGACTCTAAGAAGAAATCTGAGGTTTTCAGAGTATATTCTATTAATTCAGGTGACTGGTGTGTCTGCTGTTTTGGTTATGTAACTTACTGGTAATTTTGATGGAGGCAAAATCCCAAAGACAGCCGAGAGACCTGCCTGGTTTAAGACTGACCTACTTTAGCAAAGTTTTAATTTTAATTCCCAGCATATGAGGGCAAAGGAAGCTGTATTTGTCAAATCTGTTCTTGGCAAGGCCATGTACCTTGTGTTTATGCAACAGCAGACTTCACGTGGTAGGCTAGAAACATGAGCAACTGTAGTCAAACAAGATTGCTTTTCTCTCTTTGAAGGCCAAAATGAGTCCTTGGGATTATCTGTTCTCTATAACTCAGAGCCTAGGAATTCATTTAGGGATGTCTGCATAGTGTCTACAATGTTTTGATTAGGTGAGAGCTGCTGGCTAGTCATATTGTGGTCTGGATGGTCCGGTGTTGCCAGAGACTTTAATATCTGCTGATCATAATTAATTTCTTATTTAAAGGGAACATCATTAAAAAACTTCCACGGAAGACTGCAGTCTTCATAAATGACACAGCCATCTTCTGTGTGGAGCTGGAAAACGAATGCCAGAACATCCGATGGCTGAAAAATAAAGAAGAAGTGAAACCCAGTGATCGAATCTCCATCACATGCTCTGGCAAGCAACATACCATGATCATCCGAGAGTGTAAGATGGAAGATGCTGGTGAGATTGCCTTCCTGGCTGATGAAAGCAGAACATCTACCCAGTTCACTGTGACCAGTAAGCTTCACTTTTACTTGACCTTTGTGTTGTGTATTCCCCAACAAGCAGGTTCTCCCATGGTAGCACTGTTGGTTTAGGTACTGCCACGCTCAGTTTGTTGTCCAAAGACAGCAGAAGGTTTGATGTGTGCCACAGAAAGCTACCGGCCTGAACATGAGCGTTGTGAGACGTTATGGAGAGATCAAACAGAGAGAGGAGTCCTGGGGAAAGAGCACAGCACAAATATGTACCTTCTCTGCTAGAATGAATGTCAAATGAAAAATGAGTAGAACATGAGGTATGGGACACGTGTCTTCTCCCCGCTGGGCTGTGCTTAGAAAGCAATGTGTAAGTTGTCCGTGTCGTAGTCGCCTTGTGTCATTGTACACAGAGCGCTGCGGGTGCTCCATCTACGCTCAGACCTCCGTTTTCCAAAATCATTAGCTGCTTTGAGGGACGTTTATCAATTCTTGCTATGGGGATAATACCACTTCTAGCAAATAGGGGCCACTTATCTTTCCCCGTTTCTCTTTGCAGAAGATTTGGAGGGGAGTATCAGCCAGCATTCAATTCCTTCCCTAGGTATTGAGTCTATAGAGACATGAGGGTAGCTTGTGGGTATGCTGACTCTTACAGGGCAGTAGATAGATACTTTTGGCAGAGTATGAGGTTTATTTCCATTCTAGCAAGCAAAAACCTCTGTGAAGGAACATCTACATGCACGCACATGAAGTGTTTCAGGGGCAGTCAAACTTGAAACATCTTATTTTGATTTTATTCATAAAACTTGAAACATCTAATCTTGATTTTAGCTTCTTAAGCTGTTTAAGTAAAATACTAAAAAAAAAAACAAAACAAAACCTGCAAGAAAAAGGGGAAATGCTTTCTCCCCAAAATATAGTTTCCTTCCTTTTGTGAAGACCAGCAAAGCCATGTCCTCTCTCTTCCTCTCTTTGACCTGACAAAGCTGGGAGGACCCTGTGAATTGGTCGTAGCTGTACTGGAAGAAGGCATCTTTGTCCTGTTTGGCTTTACTTGGGGAGACTCATCTAATATGCAGGCCAGAGAATTCCTTCAGCTGGCACATCTGATCTGAGCAAGGGTTTTAGTTGACAGACCAGTAGCAGCAGGTGCCATGTAGTTGAGATTGGACCTGAAATGAAATTTTGGTGAAGTTGCCTAATTTTATTTAGCTTTATTTTGGTGGTGCTGCATCCCCCAGGCAAAAGCTGCTTCAATTAAGACAGAAAACTACACGTGGTTTCTGGCTCTGCTGCAGTTCCACTTTGCATGTGGACAAATCGTCCACTCTAGTCACTATTTGGGAGGAATAAAACTTCTCTCCCACAACCACCTCCAAACTGAAACTGGTCAGTGGTAAAAAGAAATCTCTAAATACAGGTTTATAACTGCTGCGTTATCTAAACTTTGTTGGGAAATTCTGGCGCTATTGAGCTAAAATGAGGCAGGTGTCGCATTTAGCATTGTGACAGTTTCTAAGGTATTTGGAAAGCTGTAACATCCAACTAAGCACATATTCAACGGGGATGACGAAGTTCAGTTTGATTTTGGACTCTGCTGTTTAACATACAAAGCAAGTGTTGAATCACGGAATAGAAAAAGGTAAGAAGCTGCCTTCCCACAAACAGATATCTCTGAAGAAAATCTTACATTAATGTTTCTGATGGTAAGATCAAGAGATCTGACTCCAGGGTCTAGTATTCAGCTTAATGCTACACTGATGGGACCTTTGGCATCTAGCTCTGACCAGCAGTAACTGGCACGCTGGTAACCGTGCACCCCAGAACACTTATGTGTCTATTTATGTAGTGAAGGAAAAGTGTATCACATCGAGATTTCCTATTTTTACACTTCATGGTATCTGACTAGCTGCTTGCAGAATCCTGTGTACTATGGTCACATCTTCTTCCATTAGCTGGACGAGGTTGGTGTTGGTTGTTCTAATGGCGTTTATCAGGCAAACGTTTACAGATTATTTGCTCAGTATCTTGCATTGTTACTATGCCCATCTTACAGATGGGTAAACTGAAGCAGAGAGAACATCAGCTGTCCAGAGCTCAGTTTTTAGTCTAGGCTCATTGTACAGCCTCTCTCTATAATCACAAACACTTGAGTATCAGCATTATGCCATTCATTTCACCCATCTCACACACCTTCTTTAACTGGGACAAGTTGCTACCGAGTGTGCTGTTCTCCATGGGATTACAGTTGGAGTCTGGCTTAAACCAGACACCTTTCAGACAGCCAAAATGAAATGAAATGAATCCTTTACCACGTCAGTAGATGTGTAACCAGAGCACACCAGGTAATTCCTAGCCTCTTGACCTTATCGGTGGCACCACATAGTGAAAAACCCTGATGGGCCTTGAGCTTTCTCTAAAGGATTCAAGAGGAACGAGAGGGTGGATGTAAATCTCCATTATACAAATACCTGCAGGAGTACACTGGTGACCTCTGATACCGTAAAATAGCCCCACCTCCTCAACGGTAGGGTCTCACGGCAGGGACATATCTTTATATCATTTCCTTTCGAAGTTAATTCCCCAACCCCAAAAGCTGGCTCTGCATAAAAGACTGAAACAGAGATCCCCAACGATAGCTGCTGCTCTTGGGAGACAAAGATACAACAAGCCTCCTGAGTGAGGAGAGCATAAATTTCCAAAGCAGGACAGAGGACAGATACCCAGAGGAAAGCGGCTGCAGAGAACAGCCAGGCCTGGGTAACGAGCAGCTGAGATCTCCGTAACTCTAAGCCCCACACACTGTCTGCCTTCTGTCTCTGAAATGTCCCGGTCATACAACGTTTAGCTGCTCTGTGTTGAAACCTGTTTAGGATCTGAGCTGAAATGTTTTAGTGTGTCTGGGACAGGCTCTCAGGAGGAAATGGAAGACATAGACTCCTGGCACAGACTGCTTTTGATGGAGTGGCTTTGCATTGCTGTGTAGGCTGCCACGCCTGCGTGCAAAGCATTGCCAAATATTGCCATGCTCTTCCTTGATGCAATGGTGCCTTGCCACGCGTTGGTTCTCACGGGCACATCTATGTTCCTGACTGTGGGGATGTGTATAGTTGAAATGCTGACCGAAGATAAATACCAGCAGACTTGTGGCATTAATACAACTATCCCTGTGCGATGATGTCTAGTAAGCGGGGCAAAATTGTGCCACCTCACCAGAGTAATCCTATTAAGGTATTTTTGGTTTAGCCTGGATTCACACCAGGGAACTGTACCAGGAATTTGATGCACAGAATTTTGAATGACTTTTGATGGAGGTTTTACCCATCTTCTGAATGAAAATAACAAGCTGAGCGTTAGTCTGCTTTGCCCAGGAGCTGTGTAGGCAGCAGTGTGGATCTAGATCTCGCACTGAAAATTTAAGCCTATGAATTTTTCACTGTAGACTCTTTGTCTGTGCAGACAATTTTAATATTGTGTAGAAATCACTTACGTTTAGCTGTGGAGGTAGGAGTATAGTACATCTGTGTGTAATGCAGCCCCAAAGCATCTTCTATCCATTCTTTTGCTTTTCCATCTCACATCAATGTTTTATGGAGGTTTATTAAGCAAGAGTGGCTTTTAGTCCAGTGTAAGCTTTTTTTCGGTGAGGCATAGTGGCTTTTCCACTCACATAAACTTCTTGCTCTGCTTTTTTTTTTTTTTTCCCCTTATTCAGCTCCCAAAAAACCTCCCACCCAACCCCCAGCTGACCCTGTGGTGAAAAATAAAACAGAAACCTCAGTGACGCTAGCATGGTCCCCTCCGAAGATGAACCGCCCCATTCCAATCGATGGCTACGTCGTGGAACGCAAGAAACTAACCGGCTTTACCTGGGTGAGGTGCCACGAGTCTCACGTCCCTGTCCCAGAGTTCACGGTGAGCAACCTGTCAGAAGAGGCCGACTACCAGTTCAGAGTGTCTGCAGTCAACGCCTACGGACAGAGCCCCTACCTGGAGTTCCCAGGGAGCATGCACCTCGGTGAGCACAAAACCATCATGAAACGGCCCAGTCTGTGGGGATCTGCCACGTGGGTGCTCTAAAGACGTGTCCCACGACTTTGAGGAGGACAGAGCAGTCGCACAGCAAAAGCTTTTTCCCTTCGCTGCTGGTCCTCCTGTCTCATTTCAATCGAAGTGATGGTGGGTTTCTGTGATAGAGCTGTGAGTACGCTTGTATTCCATATCGGGCTGTGTGAGAGGCAGAGCTCTCTGCAACGGACCTTGAGCCTCTAAGTCCTTCTTCTAGACCTGGTATGAAAGGAAAAACTACAGTGGGCTTATAGTTTTCAATATATAAATGAGATATCAAACTTGCACCTACAGAGTATTTATGGGTGATCATACCATCGTGAAAACCAAGTTCCAGTCAATCTCTCTTCTGTCTTAGAGTTACTAGGAGGAATACGGGGATTTCACTTTATTTCTGGGGTGCCAACAGAACCATTGTGTGCAATGGGATTGCGTCTTCCTTTGATTCATTGTGCTGGACAATATCTGCACAGACTTTTTTTATACTGTGTCTTGTTATTCTGTCATCCTTTTCCCTAGCTGTCTGAACATGCTTGCGTTTTCCTAGAATATCTAGAAGTGACTAGTAGGCTGGGTGGCCTCCTTAGGATCCTTCTGAAATCTGAGAATAATACTGGTTATTAAATAAATAGCACACTTGTTGGGGAACCTAGCTGTTTCAGGCTTGTTACACCTTTAAACAACTTAGGGGGAAAAAAAAATATCAGTAAAGTATTCCTGTTGTTCTTTCCTGGCAGCAACAGGACTTGCCCTAATGCCAGAGATCAGTTACCTGTAGAAATCAAACCCTGTTGACCAACCGTGCATTGCCTTCAGTGCATGCAAACTGTATAAGGCTGCAGGATTTCATTCTCATGTCTTGTTTACCCCCAAAACTTTCTTCTTAGGAAGGGCTGTTGTCCAGCGTGGCAGCCTTGTGTCCTTTGATCTCAGAGATACGTGTGGTTTTTCTTCCCCAGAACCAGTCTTGGCTGTGAAAACCCCCCTGACAACTGTTGAAGCTGTACCTGGAGGGGATGCCCTGTTTACTCTTGACCTGACAAAGACGTGTTCCGGCACTTGGTACCTTAATGGTAAAGTCTTACAGGAAAGTGAGACTTACGTCATTAAGAGAACTCAAACTACTCACACACTAATCATAAAGAACATCACCAAGAGCGACGATGGAGCAGAAGTGAAATTTGTTGCAAATAATGTTGACACCAGCACCAAGATGAGAGTAAAAGGTATTTATTTCCATCATTATCCTTTCTTCCAGTCAAGCGGCAGTTGCTGTGACCTGATGATTAGAACTGGGGCCGGAGGCTTTCACCAGTGCCTGGTCTGTAGGAAGTACCTGAAATTGCATCATATGAACTAACGTGGGTCCTGGTGATGACCTCACCATGACAGCACGCAGTTCAGAGTGAGTCGATCTAGCCAGCTGGTTGGTATCTGAACTAGACTGCTTAACATCAGCTCGTGAATTTCTGTTCTTCACGACCGTCAGTCACCATCCTGTCACCAGACCTATCCCTGAGTCACCTCAAGGCAGTAATTTCAGCTCCACATTCGGCTAAGTCCTTCTGAGAAGAGTCTTTCAAATGTCAATGAGTAGTAATGACTAACAATGATTTTTCTTGGAGATTTTTTAGTCTACCACAGATGTGTGTGATGTACAAGTTAGTATCACCTAACTCGATTTAGCATTGAGAGTTGGGTGCTCCAGCTTTCCTCTGTGAAATGACGATAACCTCTACACACATTGCATGGCAAAAGGTAATGAATAGATATCCATTCTGGAAGGATGTGTTTGACTTCGGGTGAGAATCTCTGCAGAAGCCTGTTTAGAGCATTATTAATCAGTAGAAAGATGTACTTTTTTCTTTTCTTAGTGACTCTGGCATTAAAAATAGATCAAGTCTCCTGAACGGGGAAAAAAAATGCTCAGAATTGACCGAGTGTGAGGGCAGGAACAGGACCTAATACTTTTTCAGAGATCTCACAGTCTACAGCAGACTCATGTCGCGGATACGTTACCTCAATATAACTTGAAATAACAAAACCTCTTTTCCCTGGCAGGTGCTGCAGTGAGATTTACCAACAAGAGCAGAGATATAGAAAAGGTCTCCGCTCGGCTGCGGGAGGAAGCCAAACTTCAGGCTGAGCTTTCAGACACAGAGGCTACTGTGAAGTGGCTGAAGGATGGGAAAGAGCTCAAGGCCAGCGAAAAATACGAACTTCAAACTGTGGGGAAGCGGCATATCCTGCATATTCGCAGCACAGCAGCAGAGGATGCTGGAGTTTATGAGTGCACCTGTGAAGGGGATAAAATGCTCTATCAGCTTTCAGTGAAAGGTATGTGACTGCCTGGGCTGCTTTGCATTAATGGTCTGTTCCTGCCCTAAGCCAAGAAAGCCATCATGGGACAGAAAGGGAATGCTCCAGAGGCAGTGCAGGGAGTTGTGGTAACTCCCCGTTACATGTAGTGTTGACAGTGTCTACAGTCCCAGAGTAGAACTTGGGATCCAACACCTTCTCAGTGGTTAAGAGCTGGGATTTCGCTCAAGTTGATGCCTTGTTATTTCATGAGGTTGAATGGTGGGTAGTGAAAAGGTGCTTTTGCGATGAAGAAATTCATCCACGGGGGCAGGACCTGCTGCGTGTGATCCCATGTCTATTCTGTTATGGGATCACAGAATCACAGAATGGTTTGAGTTGGAATGGACCTTAAAGATCAGCTAGATCCAACCCCTTTGCCATGGGCAGGGACACCTGCCACTAGACCAGGCTGCTCCATGCCCCATCCAACCTGGCCTTGAATGTGATATGAGCCATGTCACTGAGGAGCCAGTTCAATTCTGGTTAAAGTTCTGATGGACCAAGATGATCTCGGCGCTGTGGGAATTTTTGGATTTTGTTTGTTTGTGGTTGGTGGTTTGTTCTTCTGTCAATACCCTGGTGAATAAGAACAGAGCTTTCCAGGGCACATTGGATGGCTTGACTCACTTCTATTTGCAAGGTATTCAGCTAGAAGGCTGTATGGAACAAACAGCAAAATGTCATTTCCTTTCAATATTTCCCATTTGTTAGATTTGGACTAGTACTGTTTTAGAGCTGCCCCTTGTTTTCATGGCAGTCCCTTCCCTCCTGATTCCCTGCTACCTAACTGGTGGGCACATCCACTCCCAGAGCAAGGCATGGAGTCTTGAAACGTCACCCTGAAACCACAAGCATGAAGCCTTCCTCTTACAAGCCTCCCCATCTGTGCAAGCTTTTATGAACTAGTTCATAGGAGTGTTTCTTCTGCCTTGAATGGGACCAGAGTTTGGCTGAAAAGCCTCAGGGTATCCCCAGGTCATTCCTCATGGGTATCAGCTAGATGTCTGCTGAGGTTCAGAGTATAAAACCTGACTCCAAGACAGTCTAGCCTGTTGTCAGACATTGTCTGGGGTGAGCTCTGCAGCTATTTTGCTTTGAACTGGCAAGTTGACTTTGTAAAGCCATTTCTGGGTTCTGTCCTGTAACTCACCCCTCACCTTCTTCCCAGCAATGATCACGCTGTTTCTATACTGAGTACCTATGAGGTGCTTCATCATCTTATTCTGCTGGCTTCTTGCCCTCCTTGGTCTCTGTAGAAACAGCAAAGCCCTAGAGTAATGTATGTGTTTTGCATTTGGCAGCTTATCTGCTTGATTATTCTCAAAGAGCAGACTCAAAAGAGGCACAAAGAGAGCTGAAAAACTTAATTTAAAAATGTGACTACATTTATAGAGGGAGGAATTTGCTGTCGACGCTTGGCAGCTGTTCTTAATTTTCGTTTTCTTCTCTCTCTGCCTCCTCAGCATCATTTTTCATGCTGGCAAGTCTACCCACAGATTTAATTGAATTAGCTGATGGATGTTTCCATGTGCTGTTCACTGTAATGTGACTGTCAAATGAGTAATCAGTGCTATTATTTTGAAATCTGTGTTGACAAGCTGTAACTTAAACATCTTCTGTTTGTCGCTTGATTCCTGGAGAACCAGCTTTGATGTATCTCAGCCTTGTAGGACGAGGCTCACAAATGCTGTCCTGGTGTTTTGCCTTTCAGCACTGCCACCTTTTGTGTTTCCTCCTGTAAATCGGGCACAGCAAGCTGGTGAATCACCTGATGGGCAGGTCAGCTGTGTCTGGCACGTGGGCATCACGTGGCTGCCGAGCAGCCGCCATGCTGAGCCACGGCCAGAGGTGTGTCACTCGCTGGGCCCCTTGCCCAGAAGAGCCCTGCTAGAAAACGCACTTGCCATTTATCACTGCAGTCCCTCCGCTGCCGTGAGACTTCACATGCCAGGCGTCCTCTGACACATGACCTCCTGCGTAGAAATGGGACACCTGAGGAGTCTCCTTCAGGCTGCTGTGGTTGTATTTTTCACTCTGGTTTTCTGAGAAAGGTGCATGAATGAACCCATCTCCCTCTTCTTCCTCTCAAAACTTTTAACCTGTGGGCCGAATTCCAGTGATGCTGGTGGGGAGGTAGAGGTCTCGGCAGCCTTTGGTCCTTGCAGGCTTCATGGGCATAGGTGGCTGGGTAGAGGAGAAGGACTGCAGTGCTGTCCTACCGAAGGGAAAGCTCTGCCATTACAAGTCTTTCCAAGTAAAAACAATGAAAAAAGAAGGTTTTCCCTGCTTAAATGCTTCTGGTATGACTTCTTTACACATAGGTATGGCTTCTAATGAGCCCCAGAAAACATTGCTGTTAGGGACCTGGAGAAGTCAAATGCAAGCTCTTGTCCCTGCCAGAAGCTGGTGATTGAATGGAGTCCCTTGAGAACCAGAGCTAAAGAGGCCCTTGGCTGCACAGTCACATCCTTCCCTTCCCTTTCCCTCTTTATTTGCTTGTTGGGTGTTTCTTAGTCTTAGACTGGGGGAGATTCAGGACTGGGGTCTTCTTTTTCCTTTCTCATCCGTGTTCTGCTTGGCAAGTCAACTCACTCTCCATTTTCAGGTCTTGGTGTTTCTTAGTCTTAGACTGGGGGAGATTCGGGACTGGGGTCTTCTTTTCCTTTCTCACCCGTGTTCTGCTTGGCAAGTCCACTCACTCTTCATTTTCAGGTCTCCAGACCCTGCCTTTGTACAAGCCGGTGAATATTGGTTCCCTATCAAATATTTGTCTGTAATTAAAAGCACTACCACAGACTAGGAGAAATATAATGTACTTAAAAGCAAGGCAGCTAAACGCAAAATCCATCTTTGTGGGGAGGGCCTTTGAGCTAAAGGAGAACCCCCACGTGTTGCATCAGGACGCAGCACTGGTTACAACACCTTGGGAGTAAAAGTCCGAGAGTCACACTTAGCTGGTCCAGACCAAGGACTGTAACTGCTTATCACAGTATCAGCAGTGAAAGATGACAGCTGCTTTCGCCAGGCATCCTGCAGAGAGTTGTTAATTTGTATTGTGCAAGCATTTTCTTGAAATTAAGGAAAAAAACGCGTACATAATCAAGGCTTTGATTTTTAGTAGCTTTGACTGCGCAGTCCCAACAAAGTGACTTGATTGTGTGTGTTGGTTTAAAATAATATGTTAAGAAGATCTTTGAAAATTAATTCCATTATCTAAAGCAAGATGGGACTGTGGTTTCAGGCTCACATTTTTAGCTAGGATATTGGTGGGTTTTTGAATCTTTGCTTTGAGGCTATTGGAGACTCAATTATTCCACTACATGTTAATATGGTGCCAGATTTATTGTTTATCTTCTCCGCTCCAGTTAATTTCCAGGAATAAGTTTCTTTTCATTTCAGTCTGATGTGGTATCTGTACACATTTTTAATTTAATGTAATTTAATTTATCTAGGTTACATTTTAACCTCTTTTAGAGTCGATTTATTTGCCGGGTAGTTACAACACAATGATTGAACAGCATTCATTGCTTTCCCTCTCGTTTGCTTGTTTCATTTCTTTCCTCACCTGTCTCAGATACTTTCTTAAAGCCCTGTTGCCTACGGCTTCCTCTCCCCTTGACTCAGCCTCCCGTGTTGTGTGTGTGCTCTGGTTTTTGGACATGTGCTAATCAGGTATATGGTTTATAAAGGCTGGAAATTTGGCTGCTTCTGCCTTAGAATCTAGCAATTAGATCCAAATTAAACATGTATATTTGGTCTTATGATAAGTGAACGCATGATGGAGATGTAAGTGTACATCCTTTCTGATGTCCACACAATTCTACCAGTGCTGTGTGTCAATATTTTGTTTCAGCACTTGCAAACTTCATAAACAAAGAGAAGACTGGAGGAGTTATCAGGGCCATCGCTGGAAAACAGGCTGAATTTGTTTCTGAGACCTCTGAGGCCAACATCATGGTTAAGTGGTACAAAGATGGCAAAGAAATCACAGCCAGTAAGAAATTCACCATGGAAGATAAAGGAAAACTGCATAAGCTGGTGGCTTCAGCTGTGACAAAAGAAGATGAAGGAATATACACATGCAAAATTGGAGATGATACTCTTCTCTTTGATTTAAAAGTCTCAGGTAAGTTTATGAGGCAAGTATGGGATCAGAGTCCATATTAGAAACTCAGGACTCTGTTCATTCCTTGCCTTACTGTGTAAACCGCTGTCTTTTGGGGCCGAGATTGCACAGTATTATTTCAGGGACTGATCCTTACTGTGGTCCTTATGCAAATCCATAACATGGGCAAATAATGTAACGATGTTGTTACGTATTCAAGCTAGCCCAAGCTTTTACTAAGGTTGGAATCACGACTCAAATGCCATGCTGGCTGGACAGGCTGAGTGCCACATCTGGCCTTTATTCTTTTAGCTCACCATGTACATCGTCTTTGAACCTCCTGACCCAAGGTGGTCCTAAAGTCTTACTGTGAAAGCCCTGTGTCCTCCTTTGACAAGTTTAACTCCTGATTTTGAGAGTTAAGCGTCTCTTGCTGTTGCCAAAGGACACTGTGATCTCTGAGACATCTGCCTACGGTACTGTAAGTGAAGCCATTAGTTCATGGCACATACCTGTCAGCATAAAGCATGTGCTAAAGCACGTGGCTGTCAGGTCAAGCCTAGAAGAGAAATGCTTGTCACTGATGCATTCCAGTCCAGGATGGAGCCAGAGTATAAACTGACACAAGAATTTATCTGTGAAATTCAATATCTGTGAAATTTAACTGATTCAATTTGCATAGCCTGGTGGGAACCTTTCTTCTAAAAGTGGTTTTTTGGCTTGTCTGGAGCCTAATTTTTAACCAGGTCTTAAGTTACAAATTGAAAGTCTACTGAAAGCTTCTCATGGCTTGTCTACATGCTGCAGTACAATGCAATTTAAAAGACCTACCAACTGAGTGCCTACGACCTGTAACTGTACATCCACGTTACTATGATGCTCTCCGTCAGCTAACTAAAAACGCAGCGGAGCTGATTAATCTGGCACAGCACTGGTCTGGAGGGATTGCTACAGGGTTTGCTGAGCTGGAGTGATTGCTTCCAGGTTACAACTGGTGTTTGCTCAGGTATTCACTCTGCATCTCGCCTCCAGTTGTCTTTGGTCGAGAATCTGAGATTGTGCAATTTCAGTTTGAGTGTCATTCATAGTCCCTGAGTGTACCCGCTGAGAAATTGGGCTAAAAAATCCAACCAGGCTCTGTCTGAACTGACCCACAAAGGGCAATTTGTATCATCTGATTTATCATGTCCAATGAGAGCTAACTAAGATGGACTTGGAAAGTGTTCTGGAGCTGCCTTTGTCTGAACATCAAGTACAGAGGAGCCTGCATGATTACCTGAGACTGGACACCTAACTTTTTGATGACGACGTGCAGGTGAGGTGAATCTCACCTGTAACTCCTATCACAAAACATCCCATTCAGGCAAAGAAAACTGGTCTCTGCTAAATAATACCCCCATGAACTTTTTGATGAACGAGGATGGTGTTACAACCTCTTAACAAAAGCTTAGCTAGGGCAACTTCCACCTTGTTTCACATGTCACCGTAAAAATTTTCCAGAGTGCTAAGAAGAAGTGCTGCAGAGTCAGAGGATGGTCTTAAGGCAGGGAAGTAATCTGTGTTTACAGTAACAGGTCACCCCAATAATCTTAAACAGCAGGATTCTGGAGGGACTGTGCTTCTTTGGTCATCTAATATTTTGAAGAATAGATCAATCCTAATGATTACAATTTTTAGTGAAATATTTGTTCTCTGATGCCACAGATGTGCCTGGCATGGGTGTAGCATAGCGATTGTCCTTGGGATACTCGGTGACTGAAAGCAACAGTTGCTGCTGAAAGAAATGCAATACTATGCGAAGGTTGGTTGTAACTGACAGCCATCAGCTTGCTCTTCAGGCAAGGGCTTCCTTGATGGAACGAAGGGTTTGAAATACCTGACGTGCTCATCAAATATTGCTCATTAGCTGATCAGGATAGTGTGTGTTGAATAGGTTTGCTCACATTTTGCACACAAGGTGCCTGTCTCCACTGAGTTGCCTTCGCTTTTACCTTTGCAAATACACTTGCAAAAGGACGGGGTTGATAAAAATGCTGCATACATGACACACGCTTTGTGTGTGTGTGTGTTTGCATGCACAGCTCATACATGTGGCCACCAGTTCGCTGTCAGAAGAGTTTGAGATAAGTTATCGAAGCAGGAACCTCTACTGCTTGAGCTATGAGAGTCACAAGCAGTTGCGAGTTCTCTACTGTGAAGATGGGTTTCAGCAGAAAGATGTGACCCTGTTGTCTCATATAATAACTCAGTCCTCTTGAAGCTGGAGAATATCTTATCAATGAGTTTATCCCATAGGTACCCTGATCTGGTCTGTGGAAGAATTAGTCCAGTGGGACTGATACTGTGGACAAGGGGCCGCAGGAATGGGCTCAGAAATATTCAAAGAAGGCTCATCATCACTTCTAACAAGATTTTCTCAGACTTCTTAGACCTTTTCAAAGCTGTTTGTGTACTCAGGCATCAATCTATATGCCCTAGAGCTTGCTTGAAATCATAAACAAGGAGTGGTGATTAAAGTGTCAGCAACTTGAGGGCATCTCAGCTTGATTTAAAAAATCCAGAAGGATGTAGGAGAGATGAATGCGATTGCACTGTAACTGAGAGCAATTATCTGAAGATCAGAGGAGTTTGCACCATCTGTCAGAAAGTCAGGCATCAACATTCATGCGTGTGCTGAGACAGGAGCTGTGAACTAAAGCACACGTTAGGCTATATGGTCTCATGATGCTGGGCCAGGTTCTGCTCATGGCTCTGTGCACATATAACTCTGGTAATGGAAACCACCGCCTCTGTGCTCTGTAAGAGCTTTTATGCCCGACTTCTGAAAGGGATACAGAAAATAGATGCACATCAGTTAGGTGGTTTTTGGTAATGAATACAGGTAGGCATAGATCCACGTCCACCTAGAACTTATGAAGGTTAGCATTAATGCCACAGTGTAGACCTAACGGGCTAATATAGTATAAAGGATCCATCACTACACAGTTCCCAATCTGGAGACCATTATGTAGTAATTCTTTGGATGACTTAAACCTTGGATGATGAGTTCCCCGGTAGAGATAACACTGCTGGATCTCAGGAGGGACTTTCCTGACTCATAACCACAGTTTATTGCCGTAACTGTTAACACTCTGTCATAGTTACAATGCAATAGTACCACGCACGCCTATGTACATTTACACCTCCAGAGGTGAAACTTGGTCACCCAAGCAATGAAATAATGATCGGTAATTACTGTATCTTAATTTTGTGCTGATAAGCCTGGGTCAAGGCATAAACTGCTTTCTCTTTCTATTTCCAGATGATGCTGTTAATTTTGTCAACAAGCCCAAAACAACTCCAGAAATATCAGTCAGTCCTTCCGAAAACCTTGAGCTGGCGTGTGAGGTGTCAGCTGCAAGCGGAGCCGTGGTATGGAAGAAGGATCAAACTGAGGTGAAGCAGGACCAGAGGACAACAGTCATCTCCCAGGGGACACACCGCAAGCTCATCATCAAGAAGGTGACACAGCAAGACCAAGGGAGCTATACCTGTGAAACGAAGGATGACAAAACAACATTCCAAGTCAAAGTCAGAGGTGAGAAAATGCTAGAAATGCCAAAGATAGAGGAATATTCAATTTTTGGGCAGTATTTTACATTCGGAGGATCATCTCACAACCTCTCTGGGGTGAAATATATCAGCTGTAGCATTTGGTTTTTGGCCAACTGTCATATCAACACTTTATACACACACATTTGCCTCCATGACTCGTAACCACAAAAAAAATGACAGGCAAGGATGATAACTTCTGTACCTCTCACAATTAGCTGATGGGTCTGCAGAAAAACTCCTGCAGGATCATAGTGTGAGGCCACAGCAGAGGTGCAGGGATAGATAAAATGGAAGGTGGAGGTGTTTGGAGAGCTCTAATGAGAAGGAGAATGACTGAATTTGAGTGACCCAAATAGGTGTTAAAAGAGCAATAGTTCCTCGATGTGAGGATATGAAGGCTGTTGCCTTCTGGAAGATTGGAGAGACATAGGAAGAGAAAGAGAGAAGAGGGAGGAGGGTTCAGGCAGTGCATGTTGGTGCTCTAAATCCCAGGTTCAAATCCCTGCTCGAATCGTGAGGTTTTTAACTTTATCCCAGAATCTCATACAGCTATTCACCTCTTGTCAGCAAAATAGAGGTTCATTCTTATCTTAATGGGCCGTTGTTATACTGCCTGTCAGGGGCAAGCATAGAGAAATAAGGGCAACTTGATTAAGCACTGGAGAAGACTAAAGCAATGTGTGACTGTTGTGGCTTTCTTACAGAGACAGAAGATGTGTTTACAAACAAGGACAAGGTACAAAAGGAGGTGAAGGCTGTACTGACACAGAACACCATGTTGAGCTGCGAGGTGGCCCAGGAGAAGACCGACGTGAAATGGTACAAGGAGGGGAAACTGATCACCTCGAGCAAGAAGTTCAAGGTGGAGTCGGAGGGCAAATCGCGTCGTCTGGTGGTGGGTCAGGTGGAGAAGAAGGATGCTGGGGAGTACACCTGCGAGGCTGCTGGCCAGAAACTGACCTTCAAGATTGTTGTCACAGGTAGGAGATATGTTCGTTCTCATCCCAGAAAGGTCCATGAGTTCCCCTTCCTACAGAGCAAAAGGAATCACTCTCTAGGCTGCAGGGTCTGTGTAGCCAAGCTCTTCGTTGAGGAGTGAGGTTGATCAGAAAACCAGCTTGCGTGCAACCACTGTCACACAGATGCCTGTAGCTAGTTGTCTTCATCTGTGAGATGAATCCCACTCAGCAGTCCTTGTTGTTTCCTGAGTTCCCAGTAAAGACAAAATAGGCAAGTATACATATACTGCCGTGATTTATAGGTATAAAGGTACGGTCAGCTCCCAGATGTTTAGGAAAATGGGTCTGGAAGAAGTCTGCTCAAGAAGTACCTAGAATGGGTAAGGCTTACATATGGGTCTCAGTGGCAGGTGAGATTGTGGGATTATTTGTGCGTTGTTATGGAACAAAAAGTTGGATTTCTCATGGAGATGGGAAGAAGCTGCTCTCCTGAGACACGAGATCATTTTACTCAGAAATGGCTGATGTTTTGTCCTCAGGCTGTACCGAGGACATATTAGTCATGAGTGGGACCATTCCAAAACAACAGAGCTGTGGGAATTTGTCATGTTGTTCATTTGGGTTTGGACACTTTGCAAAGTGTGAATATACGTGTGATTTTTTTAAATTGCTTCTGCCACCCCACAGAAGCAGAG